GAAATGCACACACCACAAAATTCATGCTTTCCTATCCTGATCTAAGGAGAAAGCATACTACCTGTTGCTCCGGGATATTCTCGACTAGTTCAATTGTTAATATTTTGAATATTGCCACCAAACCACTAAAAGCCAGATGGGTTAATGTCCTTATGACAATATCTGTACCTTCTGTGGGTTTGTCAGCAACTGATTCCTTTTCTTCATTGTCTTCTGGCTTTGTGACAACCATGGATGTTAATGGAGTCACAAAGTTATATTTCAGAGACAACTCCAGAGCTTTAGCAGTAATATTTTCCTTTTCATCTCCCTGCGCTACAGCGCTAAAAGCAAGGACATTGGAGAAGCATTTAGAAACTGTTTTAACCATGATAATACTAATTATTCAGTATTCTTCCATCCTGTAATGCAAAAAACATTGTTCTAAATAATAAAATAAATAGGATATAAGTCTCATGAACACTTTGGAAACAAAAGACTTGTCTCCTGAAAGAAGAAAGAGATAACTGATACTTAAAGCTAAACTTATCAAACTCTAATGTGAAGTTAGAAGACCTGCAATAATTATCTTGCATTATCTGAAGCAATTTAACTTGGGCCAAGAGATCAAATTAACTACAGGCCAACAATGATGAATAGCTACCAATCCATTCCAGGGATTATTGAATGAAACTAATTTTCCCTTTCTCAAGAATAATAATTTTTCTCAAGAAAGGGATGGAAAGTGATTGACTATACCAGTCTTCATGGACTTCTCTAGAGTAACCACAAAGTTGAAAAAGTCCTACATTACCGTGCTTCTAGAAGTTGTTGAATGGTGAGATAAGCCCACAATTTCTCAATATATTCTCCAAATATGTATTGCTGCTCTTCGAGAGCTTTGGTTGTTTCCTCAACATCGGCTTGTTCGCTATAAGTCACCTCATTTAGTGCCTAGATGAAAGAAAAGGATTGGATTTATAATTCCATTATAATTTTTCAGCAGTACACTTTTATACAGGTGTTTATTTCTATATCTATGTACATTGAACAACAGATGGCTGAACTCAAATGTATCAAAAATTTTAGACAGTCTTTAAAGATCTAAATAAACCCCATGGATTTCTAACACATTGAAATTATTAACTGAGAAGATACCTGTACTATTTTGTAAGGGACTTATATTTTGGTTTTAATGTTTTTACTCTACATAAATGTGTTTTTGTCTCTTGGTTTGAGTTTGGTACAAGCTGGGGTGCTATGTAATAACTATATAACTATATTTAATAATACAGAAATAAATACCAATTTTCCCCTCCCTGCCAAATCTCAAATTAAATCTTACACCAGCCTAGCGACTCAATGCATCTGATGAAGTGTGCTGCAACTCAGAAAAAACTGTCTCTGAATCTCTAATAAGGTGCCATTAGTCCCCTTCTAATATCTTGTTGAGTGAATGATGCTTTATTTGTCACCCAGGTTCAACATGACCACATAGCCTTCATCCATGTAAACTAGTGATAATATTGATGTCTCATGCCTGAAAAGGCTTTGTGTGAGTCTTATGAAGGTGAAGCTGATGTTTAAATGTGGATGGATGGCTTGGATATGGCTTGGCAGTATAAATTCAGTTTGGCTAGGTATTAAGTGAAATAATTAGCCAATATACCAGTAATCTGGGTGCTGGCCTGTCTCTAAAAATAATATAAATAGAAACCACTTCCAAAATAAAAATTTTCAAGATTCTGGAACGTTGATAGAGGCAGGTAAACTACCTAATGATTTCCCCTGGAGTATCTACTCTCTCAGCAGTGTTCAGAAAATTATTGTTCTGGAAGTGTGAATATTTTTTTTGTTATAGAAACTGGAATCCCATGGTAATATCTTGAGGAATGTTGGACTTCAAAGATACTTACCCCTTGAGCTTTTACTTCTGCTGTGATACTGTTCAGGTCATTGTCTGTAATTCGTCCAGCCACAACTATTTCAGAGCCATCATAATAATGTTTAAAACTATTTTGAGTCAAATCTGAGATGGCATTTTCATTATAGCCTAACTCCACTTCAGTAAGCAAAGGATTGGCTACTTCATCATAAAAACCCTGGGAATAAAATAGATATTAGGGTATTTATTCTTGAAATCAAAATATTGCAAATGAGAGGTTACCTTTTTTAGGCATGGTACTTTTCTGTAAAAAATCATACTAAAAATCATATTGTAAAAAAATCATATTAAAAAAGCAGAGCCATAAACCTACCAACAAAAGTACGTATAGTCAAGGCTATGGTTTTCCCAGTTGCAATGTATGGCTGTGAAAGTTGGACCATAAGAAAGACTGAGCGCCAAAGAATTGAGGCTTTTGAACTATGCTGCTGGAGAAGACTCCTGCGAGTCCCTTGGACTACAAGGCGATCAAACTGGTCAGTCCTAGAGACCAACCCTGACTGCTTTTTAGAAAGACAGATCCTGAAGATGAACCTCAAATACTTTGGCCATCTAATGAGAAGGAAGGACTCACTGGAGAAGAGCCTAATGCTGGGAATGATTGAGGGCAAAAGAAGAATGGGACAACAGAGAATGAAGTGGCTGGATAGAATCACTGAAGCAGTCGGCGTGAGCTTAAACAAACTCCAGAAGATGGTGGAGGACAGGAAGGCCTGGAGGAACATTCTTCATGGGGTTGCGATGAGTCAGACATGACTTCGCAACTAAAAACAACAAAAACAACAACTTTTCTGTTATCAGAATCTAGACTACCCTGGAAAAGTACTCTGGAAAACAGACTTCTTGTTAAAAGTCTTGACTCTTAAAAAATCTTTCCCAAAATTGACATCTACAATTTTGTATAGATATAGAAAATGTGGACTCCATGAAATGGAGGATTAACTATGTGAATTTAGATGTAGCAATAACATTAAATATGTGCAGTACAAAAATTAGGACTATTTCACTGTACATGTTAATAAAACAGTTTTCAGATGAGTTTTAATTCTTTTTAATCACAGGAAAAGGTGTAATTCTTTTTATTCACAATTTTTACTAACACAAAGCCTTTCTGGACATCTTTTCCTATTTTGCAAAACCATCGATTGCTAGACAATCCCTTTTTTAAAAAATAAAAAGGTCTACTTTCATTCATCATATAAATTCCCTGATGTAGGCTCTCATGAGGTAAATTTTCCTGATGTGAGCAGCTTTTTCAAAGGAAGAAACTAACATTTTTAATAGGACACAGAAACTAAACAAACCACTTTTTCTTGCTTTTTTACCCAGCCTCTCACTTTTTTTATTAATTTTTGCCAGGAAAATATGAAGTATGATATCAAATGAAAAAGCAATAGCACTTAGATTTGTATATTTCTTCACAATGCTTTACAGCCCCTCTCTAAGCAGTTTACAGAGTCAGCCTAATGCCACCAACAATCTGGGTCCTCGTTTTACCAACTTCAGAAGGATGGAAGGCTGAGTCAACCTTAAGCCAATGGGAAACGAACTGCCTAACTGCCAGCAGCTGGCAGTCAGCAGAAATAGCCTGCAGTACCATGTTCTAACCACTACACCACCACGGCTAATAGTAGTTAGTTGCCTGAGAAGGGATAAAGTTTCATCCCACTGGGCTGTGCTGATTCTTTTGCAACAGGCCAGCAACAAGGAAAAATGGTAGCTGGGGTCAGGATCTAACCCAAAAATACAGAAAAAGATGCACCTGGTCCCTGTGATGCCTTACCTGTTAAGTAGAGTGAGAGGGCTACTTTAGAAAATTAACCAATGAGATGATGAACCTTATTATTTACAATGGATTCCTATATTTTCTCACTATGTTTCATGGTATGTAAACATATTCTGAGTTGATTGCCACAATGTGAGAGGGACACATATGCTAATCTCTCTTGGTTACTTTCGGGTGCTATACACCTTTCCTTGAGGATGGGATGAGATATTATATCCTTCATGGCCTCTTGTAACTGAAAGGAATAATCAGCGATCTTTCTCTGCTTGAAATAAATTGAAGAAAATAAATTTGTCAGATAGAATGAAAAATCTAGCACTTATGTCTATCTTGTCCAACCAAGATCTCTTGAGAAGTGAAGCAAGGAAGGGAGGCAGGAATCGTAACAATATTATTATACTGTAGGCACCAGGTTGGAAAAAGCTGAATTATGTTCTCTTAATTTTGTCTTTCCATGTCATCTGGGCTAAGAATTGAGTCAAAGGCACACCTCTAAACAGTGTGGAGCAGAATGCTAGCTGGCAGCAGATCTTGTATCAGTGAGAGGATATGGCACACATTTCTAACTTTTGGTAGCCATGACACACAAACGGCTTTTTTTGTTGTAGAATCAATAGTGTTTTCTTTTTATGACCCAGTAGTCCTTTAATTCAGAGTAGAGCCAAGGTGACTGGGTAGAAGTGAGCATTTACTGGCTGATCGCCCTTCCTGATGCCTAAGTGGAGTTTGCAGCGATATTTTTCTTTGGGTGAGAAACATCTGCCGCTACCGCGGATTGAACCCTAAACCTTCTAAGTGGCAGGTGAGCGTCTTCACTGCTAGGCCACTATGCTGCTCTGTTGTAGAAGCAATACATCTTATGACCAACAGAAGCTGCTACTAAATTTCATTTGGAGTATAATTCCTGCAGTTTTCAGATGGCAAACATAGGAAATTGGGATAAATGAGAGGAGAGGAGGAGAGAGGAGAACACATATGTGTTTTTTTCCTCATGTCTGAATCCAAGTAAGGGTAGTGTTGTTACCATATGGTTTACTCAGTGCCCTTTCTCTGCCACAGAAATATTTCTTCATAAATATAAATATCAACCTTTCATATGCTTATTCTTCTACCTGTAGTTGTAAGGTTGCATCTGAGTCTTCAAAGATGCGGCGAGCCACACCATTGTTTTCTGTTGCTATTCTCTCTAAAAATGCATAGTCAACATCATAACCAAACCCAAGATTGTATATAGGATATTTTCCTTTAGTTGCATTCTTAGCATTTTCTTGAATCTGTATGGGATTTGATACACCTGCACAGAACGGATCACAAAACATAGTTAAATAGTACAATGATCTGAAACGTGTTTGTGGGCACAGCAATCCTATAACTTTAATACAAGGCTGTACAGCTTCCTATCTTTCAGCTTCAAACTCTCCTCCTAATGGGTTGAAAGAGAGTGAGTAGTGTTGTAATTTGATTCCTTTTTCCTTCCTTACTGCCTTTTCCAAGGTAAAAACATTATTTATTAGATGTATTGTATTATAACACCCTCCCCTTCCCCTTGTCGAAATATTCTGAAACTGGTGATAGATAATCAATCAAGAGCAGCTTCAGAAGTTTAGCCATTATTTTGGAGTATGTCTGGGAGCTTCTCCCAGGACTTCTGTAATGACATGATCACCAGTGGTTGTGGTATATAGTATGGAGAAGACTATGTGAAAACAAGGAGACTGAACAGCAACCTTTATTCCCGTGTTCATCGGTCATTCAGCTACTTACCTACATTGGCCTCCCCATCAGATAACATGATAACTAAAGAGGCACTTCTTTCAGGTACAGATTTCGATTCATGAGCTTTATTCAGCATTTCAATACCAGTCAGTAAACCATCATTATAATTTGTTCCTAGAATGTGAAAGTGGGGTTTCAATTTTTTGGCATATGAAAATGGAGATTCAAATCTTTTAATGTAGTGTTTTTTAATACAGCCATTTTATTTTAACCTTATTCTAATATAGCAATTTTTCTTTTTTTTTTTCTATTTACCTCCCCACGCATTTATTTGTTGAATAAATTCCTTTGATTGGTTCACATTCTCTGGAGTAGCTTGGATTAAGTTATCTTTCCATGTTGAAACTGAACTTTCAAACAGGATGATATTGAAGTGATCTTCTTCTTTTAAGTCTTCCACTATTTTTGTCAAGGCTTCCTTTGCCTAGAATTATTTTTAAAAAAGTATCAATTCTCAACAAAGGACTTCTCCTCCATAACCCAATCTGGCTATTCCAGAGGTTACTCCACCCTGCATTCCTTTCAACTGAGTGAGCTCTCTATACCAGCACATTACATTGCTACAAACTTATTATGTCCATGTCCTGCTTTTGCTACCCACATCATATGATGCGTACAAATCCCTTTATATTTGTTTGCTTGAGATCTTCAATTGTTTAACTGTAAAGTCAAATGGTTACTGAGGAAAAAAAAACCTACCCTTCTTTTTTGAAAGGTAGATCTCCATACTAAGCCAACATTCCATTGTTTCCTAACCATGGTCAAAAGATTAGTGATATTGTGCAGCAGTCAGGCTCTACACTATCATCCCTGAATCATTAGTATTAAATTTAATATGTATTTTTCATAAATAAAAATTGACTAAGTCTTTTCTGACTTGTATGAGATTTTGCCTTTCTCCCATGAAATTGTAGGATGTTTGAGATAGCATGAAATCTTACTAGAGAAATAGCTAAGATTTTTTTTAAAATAATTTTGTAACATAGCAATAGCAATAGTACTTAGACTTATATACCACTTTATAGTACTTTACAGCCCTCTCTAAGCAGTTTGTAGAGTCAGCATATTGCCCCCAACAATCTGGGTCCTCATTTTACCCATCTTAGAAGGATGGAAGGCTGAGTCAACCTTGAGCCTGGTGGGATTCGATCTGCCAATTTGCAGGCAACTGGCTGTCAGCAGAAGTAGTTTGCAGTATTACACTCTAACCACTGTGCCACCAAAGCTCTTAAAACATGTTTGTCTTTTTAAAAAATATTACTGTTATTTAGATGTTTATTTTTAATAATTTTTTTACTCTTGATATAGTTCATAAACAGATTGATTCATGGCTTAAGTCAAACTAATCATTTCAAAATCAAACTGCTTCCTCAAAGGTCCTCCTGTATTCCCTTTCACTGTTTGGGTCCTCACCCTAGTTGTAAAGCTGAATAAACCAGTTGGCAATGTAATGGTCAAGCTTCCCAATATCCCACATTTCATTCTAATGCTCAAGTGTTTTATTTCTGCAGGAGCCACCTGAAAGAATGTTCTGTATGACTTTGAAGCTAAGTAAATATATGGCCTAAATCAGTGATCCCCAATCTTTCTGGCTTGGTGGCCCGGCGGAGGTTGCGGGGAAACATGATAGTTCTGATGAGTGGCAGGTACACACATACGAGCGCACACAGCTCCATTTGTATGAGTGGAGCTTCAAGCACGAACCAAGCACCTGCCACTCATGTCAATAGAGCTGCATGTACATGTGTGCCCTTGCTCGCCACTTGTGCAGCCCAGTTCTGAACAGGCCACGGTCCAGGGCTTCGAGGGCCCTGGCCTAAATCAACACATATAAAAGAAGGCTTAGCTGAAAGTTAAGGATGAAGCAGTACATTTCAATTACATTACTAAATACTTTCAAGATTACTATGCTACATATTTTACTATATGTGTAAATCTTACAAGGCAAAAATAACTTGGAGTAAAAGATTGTAGGACCTGATTTTTATCTGCTGTACAATTTACCATCCTTTTAGAGATATTCCAAGAATTTGTGTTGTTTACTTACTTGCCGAATTTTCTGTCCAGACATGGAACCACTGACATCGATTACAAAGGCAACATTCTTAGGTAAACGTTCCAGGATTTTTGGTGCAAAAAAGTGTACAAAGTATCCATTTACTACCTAAAAAACATTGATAAAGATAGTATTCATTTGTGGTAGGGTTTTTTGTTTGGGTGTGTTTTTGTGCTGGTATATTAGTTCAAGTGTCAAACAACTAGAGTTACCTGTAAATTATTAGGAGAATCTCTGTTCACGTCATACTTAATGACAAAATCTCCTTGTAGCAGAGTGGTTGTACAATTGTCACAGGTTCGTTGTTGTTCAATAGTAGGACTGAATGATACATGGCCCTTAAGAAAGAAGAATTCTTCATCTTAGATTTCAGCAAATGAGGAAAGCAGATTCTCTAAAAATTTTGCTTTCATTTAGCGATCCAGAATAATATTTCTCAATACATTTTCTGCGGTTTATATTCAAAGATTACTTCCAAACATGATTTATCAATTTAGAGGCCTATCTTGTCCTTTGTCCATTCTTTACGTCAGTGAACTAGAGGCCTACAACATTTGCAACAAGCTTGTAAGTACTGTAATACATGGGTATACTTATTAAAAACAAGTAAGATCTTCAATATTTGAAGTAATAAACAGTTTATAACTAGTAGCTATTTATTCCTTTATTATACAGGTGAAACTTGAAAAATTAGAATATCGTGCAAAAGTTCATTTATTTCAGTAATGCAACTTAAAAGGTGAAACTAATATATGAGATAGACTCATTACATGCAAAGCAAGATAGTTCAAGCCATGATTTGTCATAATTGTGATGATTATGGCTTACAGTTCATGAAAATCCAAAATCCACAATCTCAGAAAATTAGAATATTACATGCAATCAATAAAACAAGGCTTGTACATAGAACAATATTAGACCTTTGAAAAGTAGAAGCATGCATATGTACTCAGTACTTGGTTTGGGCCCCTTTTGCAGCAATTACTGCCTCAATGCAGTGTGGCATGGAAGCTATCATCTTTCTCTTGGCAATGCCCCATAGATTCTCTATGGGGTTCAGGTCAGGCGAGTTTGCTGGCCAATCAAGCACAGTAATCCCACAGTCATTGAACCAGGTTTTGGTGCTTTTGGCAGTGTGGGCAGTTGCCAAGTCCTGCTAGAAAATTAAGTCAGCATCCCCATAAAGCTTGTCTGTGGAAGGAAGTGTGAAGTGCTCCAAAATCTCCTGGTAGATGGCTGCATTGACCCTGGATTTAATGAAGCACAGTGGACCAATACCAGCAGATGACATGGCTCCCCAAATCAAAACAGACTGTGGAAAATTCACACTGGATTTCAAGCATCTTGCAGTGTGTGCCTCTCCATTCTTCCTCCAGACTCTGGGTCCTTGGTTTCCAAATGAGATGCAAAAGTGGCTCTCATCAGAAAAGAGGACTTTGGACCACTGAGCAACAGTTCTGTTTTTCTGTAGCCCAGGTAAGACGCTTCTGACGTTTGTTGTTCAGGAGCGGCTTGACGCACCAACGTGCCTACCGTCCCTGTCCTATTGTTTCTCTTATTCTTTTATTTTTCTTATATGTACCCATTTCATGTATTCACAACTATGTATACATTTATACTTATTATCTTGTAAACAATTGGCAAATCAAATAAATAAATAAATAAATAAATAAATAAATAAATAAATAAAGAGGAATACGACATTTGAAGCCCATGTCCAGGATCCGTCTGTGTGTGGTGGCTCTTGATGCACTGACTCCAGCCTCAGTCCACTCCTTGTGAAAGTCCTCAACACTTTTGAATGACCTTTTCCTGATAATCCTCTCCAGGCTGCGGTCATCCCTGCTGCTTGTGCACCTTTTTCTTCCACACTTTCCCCTTCCATATAACTTTCTATTAATGTGCTTTGATACAGCACATTGGGAAGATCCAACTTCTTTTGTAATTGCCTTTTGAGGCTTTCCCTCCTTATGGAGGGTGTCAATGATGGTTTTCTGCACAACTGTCAGGTCAGCAGTCTTTCCCATGATTGTGATTCCTACTGAAGCAGACTGAGAGACCATTTAAAGGCTCAGGAACCCTTTGCGGGTGTTATGGCTTAATTAGCTGATTAGAGTGGGACACTTTGAGCCTAGAATATTGAACCTTTTCACAATATTCTAATTTTCTGAGATTGTGGATTTGGGGTTTTCATGAGCTGTAAGCCATAATCATCACAATTATGACAAATCATGGCTTGAACTATCTTGCTTTGCATGTAATGAGTCTATCTCATATATTAGTTTCACCTTTTAAGTTGCATTATTGAAATAAATGAACTTTTGCATGATATTCTAATTTTTCGAGTTTCACCTGTACATATAAAATTTCTAAGGAAGGAAGCCTTGGGAGTTTTTAGAGGAATATTTAGAATGGGATGAGCCAGTTGTTTTCAAAATTCAGCTGTGGTATATTTTGAATTATTAAACATTGCAAGATCCAACATTGTATGTACCAGTTTTCTACATCTGTAGGAACAATGAATACAAGGAACCAGCAGTGGAGCATTGCATTTTTATCTCCTTTTCTTGTCTAAGAAGGATTACTCTACATATCTTACTCTGCATTGCCTCTTACTGGCTACACTTATACAGTCAGGATTATGTCTGTCTGTCTGTTTACCTACCTGCCTGCCTGCCTGCTTCTCTCTCTCTCTCTCTCCCCCCCCCCCACATACACACACATACACACACTCATTCATTTGTCATATTTGCATGATAATATTTATTACTTTTATCTCCTTCTTCTTCACCAATTTTATTCATAATTTTTCCCATAAGGCTGGACACACCTTACCAGTTCTATGCTTAAGCATTGTTTATGTTCTGCAATAAAAAGTCTATTGGGATTTCATTCATACTAACTTCCAGATTTCTTTCTACAAAACCAAGTCAAAAGGAAGAAGACTTTGACTGTCTGATTGTTGCTCACCATTTTGAAGCCACTGACTTATCACTGCATAGGATCCTGCACTGAGCATACATTACTTATCCCCTCCCCTCTCCCAACAGTGTTGTGTTGGCCAAGAGGAGAGAGTAATTTATATTCAGGAACAAAAGAGTTTGTCAGTCTGTAAAGCAGGCAGAAAGTCATGAATCCAGCAAGGAGATCTGGCTCTATTGAACTGCTAAATGATAGAAAATATAAAAAAATCTTCTCTGTAATAGGAATTCTGTTCAGGAACTTGGGAAGCTAAAATATAGGGGAACGTTTTCATTACCTAATGTCCATCACTTTTCCAAAGTATTGACTTACCTTGATAAAGAACAAGGAAGAAGCTCTGGAAAAGCAAAAGGAATATATTTTGCAAGAGTGGAAGAAAGCCTAAGACACTGCACACTTAATAGTAGAAATAAAAACACAGGGAAGGAAGTTGAGAAGTAGTCAAGAGGAGAGAGGATAAAACATGAAAAAATAGTTCCCAATATCCCATTACAAAATGATATGGCAGAGAAGAAAATCCCTTGATTGGCAATTTCTATTCACTGGATGCAATACTGTTGAAAACCAGTACAACATATTTTTACTTGAAGTCAAAAGAATCATCAAACTATATGTACCATTAACAACTCTCAAAACCAGAAAAAACAAATTACCCATAACAATAAGGAAGCTTCAATCCAAAAAGAGATCATTTTGGCGGAAAAACAAATCTGGTCACGTTGCCAACTTCAAAAGCCGATACAAAAATTTATGCCACCAGATAAAGACTGAATGCACCAATTATCACATTAAACAAGAAGAAAACCTTCTACGCACCAATTCCACCCGTGCTTTCTACCATTTTGTAAACAACAAACTAAAAGACTCAAGGTCCATCCCACCCCTAATGGTAAAGACTGCAACAACGACAGGACCTAATGGTAAAGACTGCAACAACGACACCATTAAAGCCAACCTCTTTAACATTCTTTGGCTCAGTATTTGTAAACAGCAATGGATCATGCCCAGGATTTCCTAGTCGAACCACAGACAACTACAATGATCTAATACATATTGATTTTACAGAAGACAATGTTGAAAAAGCACTACGCAATCTAAAACCATCTCTATCTATTGGACCGGATTGAATATGTGCCTACTTCTTAAAAAAGCTATCCACTGCCATAACCAAACCTCTAAGCATAACCTTTGAAAAATCTTTGAGGATCAGCTCCTTGCCAAACCTATGGTCACAAGCCACGGTCATCCCCATCTTCAAAAAGGGAGACCCCAGCCTAGTTGAAAATTACAGACCAATCTCTTTATGCTGAGTCACCTGTAAAGTCATGAAATCAATTATTAACCAATTCATTATCCTCCACTTAGAGACAAACAACCTACTCTCTAATAAACAATTTGGTTTCAGAAAAAAACTATCCTGTAACCTGTAACTCTTACACTGCAAAAACTCGACCAGGGCAAAGCAATAGACGCAATCTACACAGACTTCTGTAAAGCCTTTGATTCAGTGGTACATGACAAACTACTTCTAAAACTAAAATCTTATGGTATCTCTGGACACCTGCATAACTGGATAGAAGCATTCCTGTCAAACAGACAACAAATGGTCAAAATTGGGAGCATCCTATCAAATTCTGTACCTGTCAACAGTGGTGTCCCCCAAGGCAGTGTTATAGGACCAACTCTCTTCATACTCTACATAAATGACCTCTGTGATCATATTAAGAGCAACTGCGTTCTCTTTGCTGATGATGTAAAGCTATTCAACACCACAGACAATATTGCTACCCTTCAAAAAGACCTCAACTATGTATCAGAATGGTCAAACAAATGGCAAAGAGCCCACTGTAACTACATAACCAAAAAGGCATTAAGAGTTGTTAACCTAATCCTACGTAGCTTTTTCTCTGGTAATATTACACTAATAACTAGAGCATACAAAACATTTGCTAGACCAGTACTTGAATACATCTCATCAGTCTGGAACCCACATTACGTATCTGATATTAACATAGTTGAGAAAGTCCAGAAATATTTCACAAGAAGAGTTCTCCACTCCTCTACTCGTTGCCTCCAGACTACCTTATGCCTCCAGACTTGAAATTCTAGACCTAGAAAACCTAGAACTACGCCGCCTTTGGTCCGATCTAAGTATAGTATATAAAATCATACTTTGCAATGACTTACCTGTCAATGAATACTTCACTTCAACCATAACAATACAAGAGCACACAATAGATACAAACTCAAGGTTAATTGCACCAAACTTGATTGCAGGAAATACGACTTCAGCAACAGAGTGGTCAATGTCTGGAATACTCTACCTGACTCTGTGGTTTCTTCCCCAACCGCTAAAAACTTTATCCTTAGACTGTCTACTATTGACCTCACCACTTTCCTAAGAGGTCTGTAGGGGGTGTGCATAAGCGTACCAATGTGCCTACCATCCCTGTCCTATTGTTTCTTTTTATTTTTCTTATATGTATCAATTTCATGTATTCATAACTATGTTTATACTTATACCTATTATCTTGTAAGTGATTGACAAATCAAATAAATAAATAAAACTAAATAAAAAATAAAAGAATCTAATGTAAATGACCAGAAGCATGTTTCTCCATGCTGGAGTAACAAAGAAATATTGGGAAGAATTAATAATGTTTGCAACTTCCAGTACAATCCACCCATAAAAGACAAAGATGAATTGAGGTACAGGTAGCCCTCCACTTACGACCATAATTAAGCCCAAAATTTATGTTGTTGAGTGAGACATTTGTTAACTGAGTTTTGCCTCATTTTATGACCTTTCTTGCCACAGTCGTTAAGTGAATCAGTGCAGTTGATAAGTTAGTAACCCGGGTATTAAATAAATTTGCCTTCCCCATTGATTTTGCTTGTCAGGTCACAAAACATAGTCACATGACCTTGGGACACAGTAATGGTCATAAATATGAACCAGTTGCAAAACATCTGAATTTTGATCAGATGAACATGGAGATGCTGCAAAGGTCATAACTGTGAAAAATGATAAGTCACTTTTTTCAGTGTTGTTGTAACTTTCAATGGTCACTAAATGAACTGTTGTAAAAGCTGAGATGGGTTGTCAATATATAATCCCCAAAACATGGTAAAGATTAGAATAGAATATTTGTACCATCAGTGAAACACACTTTCATAATAATATTCTTCATTAGTTTCATTTAGCTTATTAAATATCTCAATCTCAGAGCAGCTTCAAGAGGAATGTTGCTCAATACCCATATGTAAAGACCACTTTCCTATATAAAGTAAGGCATATACATATGTAAAAGCCACCATGATACAAAAAACTTGAAAAAGAAAGACTTTTTCAAGTTACAGAAGAGTGTCCATGGACTGAATTACATGTTTTTTAAGGAGCAGACTTAATCCTTGTCTATACACCAGATGCAAGAATGAGAAATACATTTTATTTATTTATTTATTTATTTATTTATTTGATTTGCCAATTGTTTACAAGATAATTTTGACTTTGTTGTTTCTCTGTAAACACATTCTTTTTAATAAGCTATCTACCTCAACTTTAAAAAATACTGCAAAGCAGAAACACTTTGAAAGTGAGATGATTAGACGTGATAAGACTTAAATATTTTCAATATTATTATTTAGGTTCGGCTCCATCTACTTTTTTGAGTCTTTGCTTAGTTTTTCATTCTGACCCATCTATATTTTGTAAGTGCAGTTCTTTAGCTCTTCTAGGAAAATATTGCCTATCCCCGATATCGGGAAATGCTTAGGAACTACTTTTACTTTTGTGAAGTATCCTCAAATAATTCTGTGCCTGCATCTTTGTTTTGTGATTGTCCTGGGCATGTCTCACCTAGACCCCTGACTGGGACAAAACAACCTGTCAGCTATGTTCCATGAAGCAAATGGATTGCTTTTAAGAAATATATTCAAGTGGTCATTCTTTCTTTTTTTTGTTTCTGGGTGGTGTCATAAGACATGTTACCATTGTAATTTTCGTTTGATGCTTATGAATCCAATTGGCCTCTTCTGTACTTACTTACAACCAAGGGAATCTGCAGCAAAGGTGGTGACCATGATCATGGCAGATACTCATTCTTCCATCTCATTATAGTTAATTCACAATTAACAATGGTAATTGGGACTGGGATTCCCACTGCTACACAACACACTTAGCAACAAAAATCCTGGCAGTCCCTATTGGTCATTAGGCAAGGATTACCTGCAGATGAATCACTCTTCAAGATTCTACCAGACATACCTTTTTTCCCGAAAAAGACTTTTTCACAACTGGTAGCAGTTCGTTATTGAGGAATGTCCCTTCAACTTCAAGTTCACTGATGCCTTGAGGCTCGAAGATGTTTGCTTCAATCTGTAACATTGATTTAAAATTATATTGACATTAAAAATCAGATAGACCAGTAATGAAAAGTGTAAACAAAGCATTAAAAAAGAATTAATTTCAGTTATTTATACATTTGTTTCTAAATTAATAGTTCTGAGCATAATTCACAAACCTTTCCAAAAACTACTACAAGATAAAGTGACAATACATTTGATCCTACCTCAAATTTATTGACAAGCTGTTTTGGATTTACTTTGATAAATATCTCATATTTTCCAAACTTTCTCTTCAAGAGTTCTTCATAAGTCAATTGAAAAGTGACTTTGCTGGATGATGCAATGTTGACAGAAACACTGAATTTCTCTGTTTTTCTTCCAGCAGCCCTTCACATGTTAAACACAGTAAGGTAAGATTCATAAGATTTAAGAGAGCCATAAAAGGACAATTACATATCCTGATGATGAATAATATAGCCCACCATTTAATACTTTTCTTTTGCTCTTTGTTCAGTTACTGAGCATCTGCTTATTGAATAAATACTTAGGACAGGAAATGAAATAATGAAACAGATACTGTTTGGCCTCACGTACTTACTTCACAAGCCCTGCAGTCTGGCCCCTTGAAACTGCTTGTTGATACTGCTTTTGGGCAACTTCTTTTTCCTTTACGATTCCAGGATAAGTGACCCCATCAATTGTCCTATTGAAGGATACATCAGATATCTGAGTATGTGTGCAAAGATGTCTTGTGGTTTTTTTTTCTCCAGTTCATCAAGTAAAGGGGATATTTGAGAGGTATAATGAGGAGTCTAGAAAGAATGCTGCCTCTATATGAATTTCTCTGGACATTGCAGGGCAGATGGATAAAAACTCTACCCAGAGGGCAAGTCTATTTCAGAGGAGCTTATGCAACAAGAGGCCACATTTTTGATGATCATTAAAAAAAATGAAGATAAGACTAATGTTTGTGAGAAAGGCATTAGTTTTCCTATTTTGAGCACATAATTGCATTAGAGGGTTACAACTGCAGCTCTATTATTCATGGTAGTTAATCTATTACAGCATCTGACTGGCTTAATTATTTTTAGACTGATCTCCAAAGCATAGACAAATAAGAAAATAATGTACACACAAAGTAAAGTTGGAAATAAAGGCTGTTTTGGGGAGCTCCACATCAAACTGAGCTTCCTTGGACACATTGGCACGATTCACAGCTCGACTAGTGATGACATTACGGGAAAACCTGGAAGTTACACTGCAGTCAATTTTCACCCAGTAGATTTCTATGGGTTGGGTGTGCTAGAGAATAAAAAAGTCATATGGTTATACAGAAATGTGCTGCTAATATATTATTTTTATTTTATACACGTTTATTTGAGATAACACAAAGATCTTTCTATACTTCACATTACACACATAGTATTTACTTTAGTGCTAATTACATTTGATGAATGTTTTAGTTACTTACAAAATTTAATTAAATTGCAGCTGACCCCAATCATTTTCTTGTTCCATTCCATTCTTGTATTGTGTTTTTAAGAAATGATTGTTATAGGGAAAGAAAACAAGAACAAATTTCTAAAACATTTTACTTTCTTTCTGTAAAAGGAATGCAAAGAGATATTTGTTACCCCCTGAATCTATGCATGAGGTAATCACCTTCATAAAAGTGTGTGATGCGGCCTTTGCACACTTGCACATGACGGGTACTTTGTAAGAGTGAATGAAATACGCCATTTGCTCAGAATTAAAACATCCCTGAACACAAGAGAACTGATTTTTGAAGAAATAAATATAACTTTTGAGCTGAGGAAATGATTTCTTTAAGCCCAGCAATGAAGATACAAATGACTAAGAGAAAATATTTGTATTTTGTATGTGCCATCTAAACTTAATGATCAGCATTCTAAATGAAAGGTTACTTACCACATCAGTGGCACTTCTCTTCTACAAATAAACAGTGAAAAAAAGGATTAATTATTGCCAAACAACAGATGCTGTATCCTACCAAATATGTTGCATAGTAGTTGTATGTTATTCCACATTTCTTTTCATTTTAAGTGAGAGCATCACAATAAATGAGAGCTTTTGTAAAATGAAGTCTGAATAATCAGCATGCATAACCTTGGCTGGGTTCCGACCGAACAAATCCCTACCAGTTTACCAACCTGAATAATTGGGAAACATTAATTACATAAACAGAAAACAAGAAACATCTGGAAAATATGGCATAAATTACCATACTAACTAAGATAAATACCTTTACCTAATAGAGTTTTTCTAGCGTTTTCAGAGGCACTTAGTACTAGGCTGATTTCATATTCTTCCCATGTCTGTGGAACTGCCTCAGTTCAAATTTAGATAAGTTAACTATAAACCCGTGATGGATAGCTCTCTCATGTATGTATGTATGTATGTATGTATGTATGTATGTACGTACCACCTTGCATCCCTTTCAAACACCCCACAATCACACACACATAGATGCAAGTACTGCTTGCTTTATTTGATTCATTCTTTCTCAATTCAGTGTTTCCCCAAAAATTGTTGAAATATGCAACATGATGTGCAGCATATGAATCCAAAGAAGCTAAATCAAGTCTGGATCCAACATGGTCCCTCTCAGAATACCTATCAACCACTCATAAAAGAGGTCATGGGAATTGCTGAGAGGCGTAGTGAGTGACCAAAGCACCTTACTGGCTTCAAATCAAATTTTTATTATTGTCATAGGCTAACATAACTTTGCCTGATTCATATTCAAATGCAGCACATCTGAGCCAGGCAGCTCATGGCATGAAATTTCATAGGCAACCAGTTTCCATGAACTTTAGAATTTCAGTCAAATTAAGCATACTGGGAAGTAAAGGTATCTCAAATCACGCAGGCAGAAAGCTGGACTTCTTGAAGGATCGAGATAGTGGACTTCCAGTTGTTGCTTAAAGCTAAAAGAACTCTGAGGAAATAAGTTGGTGACTTCATATATTTAGCTACATACCTTAATGTTTCTCAGTGGGTTTATCAAAATATCTGAAGTTACAAGAGCAGGAATCAAGCCCAGTAAAATGTAACATGGGATAGCTTTCCCCATGTTGGAAGAAAAATAAAAATGTCAATTTGGAAGGACCTCTATTTGTAGTGAACCTTGTAAATAGTCAAACAGTAACACTGAAGTAACTATGGCAAATATTTATCTTTGGAAAATGGTTGATGAAATTTCTACATGAAAGTTAGAGAGTCCAAGGCCAGAAAAGCACATTTCAGCCTCTAATCCAGGGGTTCCCAACCTGGGATGCTCGTACCCCCTGGGGGTGCGAGACGATATTCCAGGGGGTGCGAGAAAAGTCCAGGTAAATAATAGGATATTGGCTATATGTTGGCATTTTTATTTATTATTTATTTCAGGGGGTGCGAGGTTCGAGTGAAATTTCTTTAGGGGTGCGGGGCGAAAAAAAGGTTGGGAACCACTGCTCTAATCTATGAAGCCCAGGTTTACCTGCTGCGCCCTATGTAGAACACCTTTAAAATTAAATCTCAGATTAGACTCCACATCTGTTTCACCACCAATATGGTAAGATTTCTCCCGAGATTCCTTGAGCTTGCACTTTGATCACCTGAATACATTTCCCACTTCTATTTCAATTAAAGTTGTTAAGTCCTGAGCATGGGCACAAGGAACGGAGACGAGGCATTGAACTGTGACTTCAACTCTTTATTAGTGACTTCAGAACAGAGCAAAATACTTGGGCAGCAGCAGCTCTTTTATAGAGCTGGCTGCTGTCAAAACAACCAATGATTTGAGTTTACCGCTCTAAGAAGCGTCCAATCAGAGGTGACCCGCTGTCAGCCAATTAGATCAGCCAGAAACGACCAATCACGACTCGCTATTCGCCGGCCAATCAGAAGTGCAGGATTACGAGCCTGCTGTTGAAGCAAAACTATTAGGGTTGTTAATGAACGCGTTAGCTTAGTTCGTAACACCCCTCCCCCCTAGGTTCTGTCTTAGGGGTGGGGTGACGTATTCTCGCAAGTAGGCAGGTCGCTTCACCTGTCTGCTTGACCTGCGCTGTTCCACCGGTTTCTCTGGTTCCGGTGGGCTGCTTGCTGAGCTGGATGGCGAAGACGGTCCCGCTGCTCCGTTGTGTGACTCGGGGCTGTCCTCACCGCTCTCGCCAATGCTGTCATCGGGGTTCCTTGGATTCACTTGCATCGCGGTGCTGCTACGTGATGAGGCAATCACCCGGTTCGGTTCTCCTTCTGGAGGTGAGTATCCCATGGTTGTTTGTGTAGGCTGCTGAGTTCCAATTGTTAGGTCGTCTGCTATTTCTTCTTCGGCCTCCTCGATGTCCCTTCCCCCCCTGGTTTGAGATTCAGGGGACGAGATGGGCGTAGGTGCCAGTCTGGAGCGAAGCTGGTCTATGTGGCGCTTCCATAATTTTCCATCATCAGTTTGCAAACGGTAGGATCTGGGCCCGGTGAGTTGAGTTATGATAGCAGGGACCCACAGTGGGTCACCTGAGAAGTTTTTTGCAAAGACTAAGTTGCCTACCTTGAACGCACGACACTTTTCTGGCGTGTAGGTAGGGTGTAGGCGATCAAGGTGTGAGCGAAGTTTCCGGCCCATCAGGAGTTCAGCCGGAGTTCTGTTTGTGGTGCTGTGTGGGGTGATGTGCTGGAGGAGAAGCATTCTGGTTATCTTGTCGTCAATGTCCCCATGTTCCATTTTGTGTAAGGTCTTCTTCACAAATTGGACCATTCACTCAGCCCTGCCGTTGGCCGCAGGGTGAGCCGGCGATGTTAAAGCATGGCGGATGCCCCTGTCTACTAGATACTGTTCAAATGCCAGGGCAGTGAACTGGGGCCCGTTATCTGAGACTAAAACGTCCGGCAATCCGTGCGTAGCGAATAATTTATTCAATTTTTTAATGACTGCTTCTGTGGTGGTGCTCTTCATTTTGTGGACCTCGAGCCAGTTGGAATAGGCATCCACTGTTATAAGAAAAGTGTGCCCTTTTGTGGGTCCTGCAAAATCGATGTGGATGCGGGACCAGGGACCGCGAGGTGCTTCCCACTCAGTTGGAGTTGCTTTTGGTGGGGCAGCGCGAATTTCCTGGCACTTGCTACATGAGGCCACCCAGGCTTCTATCTGCTTATCTATACCTGGCCACCACGCGTAGCTTCTTGCCAGTGCCTTCATTCGCACGATGCCTGGATGACCATCGTGCAATAGTTTTAAAACTTTATGTTGTAGCTTCTCTGGGATGACGACTCTGTCTCCCCACAAAATGCAGCTCTTTTGAGAGAATAGTTCTGTCTGCCGATGTTTGAAAGGCGCAAAGGTGTCATTGAATTCGTTGTCAGGCCAACCTCGTTCCACCCAGCTGAGGACTCGTGCCAAAACAGGATCCCGTTTTGTTTCTGTGGTGATATCTCGTGCAGTCAGCGGTGGTGAGGGAAGAGTTTCAATTTGGAGTGCAGTTAGGGTTGGAGCTGGATCGTCGATGGCTTCAGGTAGCGGGGAACGACTCAAGGCGTCAGCGTGGGGAATGGCTTTCCCCGGGCGGTGTCGCAGTTGATAATCGTATGCGGCTAGAAACTCTGACCAACGTGTCATTCTTGGCGATAAAATGTGGGGAGTTGGTTTGTCTCCCGCTAAAATGCCAAGCAATGGCTTGTGTTCGGTGATTATGGCAAATGGTCTTCCATATACATACTCATGGAAACGCTTAATGGCAGACACAATAGCGAGAGCCTCTTTATCGAGTTGGCTATAGTTTCTTTCAGTCTTTGATAAGGTCCTTGAGAAAAAAGCAATAGGTGCCTCATTGCCGTTTGGCAGGACGTGGCTCAAGATGACTCCCACTCCAAACGGTGAGGCGTCGCAGGTGACAGTTAAAGGCAAAGTCTCGTTATACTGCATTAATACAGCATCTGAGGTTAAGAGGTCTTTTACTTGTTGGAATGCTCGTTCTTCCTGATGTCCCCAGACCCAGGAAGCCTTCTTGTCGAGTAGCCTGTGTAGGGGCTCAGCTACAGTCGCCTTCTGGGGCAAGAAGATGTTATAAAAGTTAATGAATCCCAGGAAGGCTTGGAGGTCTGTCTTATTTCTAGGTCTTGGGGCGTTTTTGATTGCAGTTAGTTTTTTTTCGGTGGGGTGGATTCCCTGTCTGTCAAGAAGGTATCCAAGGAACTCCACCCTCTCTGTACAAAGTTGACACTTGTCTTTTTTTACCTTCAGGCCAGCGTCTTTAAATTTTTGGAGAACCATTCTGAGTCTTTTTCTAATACTTCTCTAGTAGGGGCAGCTATTAAGACGTCATCAAAATAAGGCACGACTCCTTTTATGCCTTGTAATAGTCTCTCCATCAGACTTTGGAAACTGCCCGGTGCCATGCTTACTCCGAATTGGAGTCTATTGCACTTAAAGGCACCCCTGTGGGTGACTATACTCTGGGCTTCTGCAGTCTTCGCATCTACAGGTAGCTGTTGGTACGCCTGAGCTAAGTCCAATTTCGCAAATATTTTTCCGCCACCCAGGGAGTGAAGAAGGTGTTGGACCACGGGTACCGGGTAAGTGCTCTGCTGAAGCGCGTGATTTAGGGTGGCCCGGTAATCCCCACAAATTCTTAATGATCCATCTGGCTTTATGGGTGTTACTATTGGGGTCTCCCATTGGGCGTGGTCAATCGGTTCCAACACACCCTGGGCTATTAATTTGTCCAGTTGCTCATCAATCTTTGGCTTGAGTGCAAAAGGCACCCGACGAGGCTTAAGGCTAATAGGAGCTACATCAGGACTGAGATTAAATGATATAGGGGTCCCCTTGTACTTGCCTAGCTTCTCTGTGAAAACGTCCTGGAATTCCTGGACGAGGGCCTCTTCCCAGCCGTCGCTTCCGGTTTGGTGGATGCCAGCTAGTTCAATTCCGAGTGGGGCGAACCACTGTAAACCTAGCAAGCTGGGCCGGTCACGATCGACGACGGTCAGAGGTAGCGATGCGGTGCGGTCTTTGAAGGATACCTGGACGTGGCTGGAGCCGACAACCGGAATTCTGTTTCCTTGGTAGTCCTTTAGTATGATTTTTTGAGTGCTGAGGTCCTGGCGACGGATGGCAGGGATCAGCTGTTTGAGGGTTTTCCAGGAGACCATCGATAGGGACGACTCCGAGTCGACTTCCATCACGCAAGGTCGATTCTCAATAGCGACCTTTACTCGGATCTTCCTTGCATCCAGGGACGAAGCGTGGCCGATAGTGATGGTTTGGTGTGCCTCTTCTCGTCTAGTTGAAGTGGCAGGTGCTCGATTTCTGTAGTAGTGGTTGTTCCATTGGTGGTTCAGGCGGTCCCGATTTACAGGTGGGTTGCCTATAGCCTGGCGGAGATTATTCTCCCTCCTGATTAGACTGGACCCTCGCTTGCTTCTGCAGACCTTTGCGATGTGGCCTCTCTTTCCACAGGAGCGGCAGAGTGCGTCGAGGAATTTGCAGTCTGATCGCGGGTGGTTTGCTCCGCAACCAGCGCATTGGCGCGGGAGTCTTTGGTTCCGTTGGTCTCGTTGGTCGCATTCGGACCGGAGTCGATTGACCTCCTCTTCCTCGCTGTCTGATGAGGATTCGAGGTCTTCAGGATGGGCGGTAGTAGTGTGCCTCTCAGAGGAAGGCGTACTGTCCCTAGCGAGTTGGCGGTGCGGTGCGTTCGCTCGGCGCATTCGAGCGGCTGACTTCCTGGTTGCTTCTGCTGCAGTAGCGTCGGCGATGACATCTGCGAGGCTGATGTCTCCCTTCGCCATAATCTTGCTCTGTATCGTGTGGTCATCTAATCCCAGAACTATTCGGTCTCTCATGGCTTCCTCGAGGTTTGCGAAACCACAGAGTCCACCCAGGTTCCGGAGGTCCGCGATGAAGTCTCCAACACTCTCATTTTTCCGTTGGTCCCTCTGGTAAAACTCGTGTCTTCGGATGAGTGTTGGCACCGCGGGTGCATAATGGGCCCGGAGGATCGACGCGAGGTTATCCCAATCCATTGTCTTCACCTCCGCAGGTTTTGCAAGCGCCTTAGCCATTTTAAAAACGGCGGGCCCGCAATGGGTCAGGAATACCGCTCGTTTCTTGCCAGGC